CTGGATAGACATGGGTCGATTCTGGGGAGGGAGGCGGGCACCTGGGGACAGATTCTGCTGTGTGCTTTGGATTTTAGCACATGTGACTCCGTCACCTGCCCAGAAGGACTTAGGTCAGAACTTTTGGGGGAAATAAAGTCAAGCCTAGGGGCGTGTCCAGGAGATGGATGATGAGGCCCTCAAGGCTGGTCCTACTGTGTGAATGTCACCCGGTCCTTGTGTGGGCCAAGGGGGCCGTGTATGGAGGAGTCTGAAGGGAGTGAGGGGTGGATGGGGTAAGTGCTCAGCGGGCCTCGGGGTGTGAGAGGGGCCCTGGGGTCACCCACAGAGGGTCTCTGGTGACCAGGTGAGTCCAGGATGAGGAGGGGCCCTCCCCTGTGCTGAAGGCCCTGCTCCCTGACCCAGGGATTGGGCTCTGTCCTACCTGTGCCATCTCCTCACTGGCCCTCTAACCCAGGAACTACATAGACTGCGTAGGTGGAGTCAGTGTCCTCCTGACTCCCCACACTTACCTTCGACTCTGGGACCCAGCACCCCGTGTCTGTCCCCCTACCCTCAGTGATCCCCTCGATCAGGGACATGGGCCCAGCTCTCACAAGACACGTTGAGGTGGATGGTCTTTGTCATTGCCACACTGGATCCAGGCAAAGTCACCTGATAGGTGAGGCTGGTGCCGTGGTCCTGGGGTTGCAGGATGAGGGTAAGCACCGAGGAGTGAGTGCTGGTGGAGTCCATGGGAAACATAGAGACCTCTGTCCAAGATATCGTGGGGGTCGTCTTCTTCTCACAGGCCCAGGGCACAAAACAGGTCAGGTTCCTGGGGAGGCCAGACTCTAAGGGCCCCGTGATGAAGAGGTTAGGAGTCAGGGCTGGGGAGAAGATGGGGACACGCAGGATCAGGACGGCAGGTCCACAGTGTGGCCCTGGAGAAGCTCAGGCTCTGGTCCAGCTCCTCCCCTGAGCTGTACACACTTCAACACCATCCGCCACCCAGGAGGATCTCCATCCCAGCCCTGCCCTGTGGCCCCATGACCTTCCCCCAGGCCACTCCTGGAGCTCAGGCCTTACCCATCACACGTAGAGAGAGCTGGAGAGATGTGTAAATGCATGTCTTTCCTCCTCTCTCCAACAGAAAGAAGTACTTCCCCTGGTCCATCCTCCGGGCATCTCTGATGCTCAGAGAGCAGTTGTTGGTAGGGAGGTCCCCGAGGCGGTCAGATTGGCCTTGGGTCTCCTGCACTTGTTGGTGTTGTTTGTTTGCGGCTACTGGATAGTTGCTGCTTATACTGGCCCCTTGCCAGAACCAGGATCCATGGGTAGGGCTGGAGTCATCCCAGCAGTTGGGGTAGAAGACCTTGCATGGCATAGACCCTCCTGCACAGTCACCAAACCGGGCACATCCAGCCAGAACCTCGGATCCTTAATTGAGCCATCTGTGGAAAAATGAGTGTCCATTTGCTTTCACTCTTCTTGAGTGAAGTCCCAGAAGTGGAATCGCTGGGTCACTGGGTATTGTATTATGTCCAACTGTATACAAAACAGCCACATTATTTTCCAGAATGGTTGTACTATTTACAATACCACCAGAATTAAATGAAAGTTCCAGTTCCTCACATCCTCTCCAACACTGGCTTTACTAGGGCTTTTCAATATAAGACATTCAGGAAGATATGCTCAGGGACCTCACTCTGATTTAATCTTCATATCCTGATGTCAGTGGTGTTGGGCACATTTTCACGTACTTATTTGGATCTCTTCAGGAATATATGATAAAGACTTTCTGCCCATTCAAAATATCAGGTTGTAATTTCATTACTAGCCGATAGGAGATCTTTCTATCATCTAAGTTCAAGTCTCTTTTCAGGCATAAAATTATGTTATATATAGAATCTTCTCCCAAATGTGGCTTGCATTTTCATTTTCTTAGCCATGCCTTTTGATGAGCAGAGATGTTAAGATGTCGATAGTTTCATTACTTGTTCTCTTTCACTCTTAGTATTTTGAATGAGCCCTAAGAAATTATTGCACACTCACAGATATTGTCTCAGATTTCTTATGGAACAGCACTGACCAGGAGAAATATAATGCAAGCCACGTATGTAATTTTACCTTTCTAGAAGTCACAATTTAAAAGGAACAGGTGAAATTACATTTAACAATACATTATTTAATCCAAAATATATCCACATCAAATGTAAATTAATGAGATACTTATATTCTTGTTTTTTGCTCACTAAATGTCAGACATTTCAACAGTCACATAGGCCTTGTATCAACCCTATTGGGCAGCACAGTTGCAGAAACTTTATAGTTTTCAATTTTTACCTTTAGGCTTATGATGCATCTCAGACTAATTTTGTGAGGGGGTCAAGGTTCATATTTTTCAAATCATATTTCACTAGTTCTACCAACATTTATTGGAAAGTCCATCCTGTCAGATGGAATAGACTTGATGATATTGAATTGACCATGCATGTGTGGGTTCTTTTATAGATGATTCTACTCCACACCACTGTTTCTGGATTACTTGAGCTTTGAAGTCAAGTCTTATTTCTCCAATTGTGTTCTTTTCCAAGATTATTTGCCCTTTGTAGGTCTTTGTGTTTCCATATAAATTTTAGATCCAATTTGTCAATGTATTAATATGTATGCGCATATATACAACTACTTATACATACATATATGTATATATACATATATACATATAGATGCAAATACATATATAATACATGTGTTTGAATTTTGACTGGGAATACTTAAGTCAATACAGAGAGAAAAGACATCTTAATATTTATCTTCCGATGATGGTGATGCCATTTAAAAATTCATTTACATCTTCCTTAATTCACTGTATTTTTCTCTTTTTTAACTTAAAAATTTTTATTTTAAAGATGTGGGGTACAATTCAGGGTTTGGTATACAAATGTTCATTATGAAGGTACCCTTGTTGATGAGGTGTGCCCCTCTCCTGGCAGTTTCCCTCAACTGCCAATCCCACCCTCCCTCCCCTGGCAGTTTCCCAATACTGCCAATCCTTTTGTTATAGTATTATGATAATTGTTCAAGGTCCGCTTATGAGTGAGAGCATATGGTACTCTGTTCTTTGTTTCTGTGATAGATCACTGAGTATGATAGATTCCAAACCCATCCAAGTTGCTGTGAAATCCATAAGTTTGTCCTTCTTTATGGCCCCATAATACTCCATTGTGTATATGTGCCACATTTTTTTAATCCAGTCCGGTTTTGATTTTCAGCATGGTTGGTATCATATTTTTGCTATTGAATTCACTGTATTTTTCAGTGAAGAAGTATTTCATGTTGTCTTAGTCCATTTGTATTTCTAATCGAATACCAGAGGTGGGATAATTTATTTTAAAAAAAAGAGGATTGTTTGGTTCCCAGTCCTGCAGGCTGTACAAGAATAACACCAGCACCTGCCCCCGATGTCAGCCTCAGGAAGCTTCCACTCACAGCAGAAGGCAAAGGGGAGCTGGTATGTGCAGATCACACAGCAAGAGAGGAAGCAAGACAGAGGGTAAGGAGGAGCAGGGCTGTTTTTATAACCAGTTATCTGGAAACTCTCATGAGAACTAATAAAGCGAGAACCCAGTCATTACCATGAGACAGACACCAAGCCAGTCATGAGGGACCCACCCCAGGACACAACACCTCTATTGAGGCCCCACCTATAACAGTGGGGACCAAACTTCAGCATGAGACTTGGGGAGACCAAACAAATCAAACCATAGCACATTTTTAAAAAATATTATTCCTTAAGCCAGGTGTGGTGGTACCTGCTTGTAGTCCCAGCTGCTTGGAAGGCTGAGGTGGGAGGATTGCTTGAACTCAGGAGTTCGGGGCTAGAGGGAGCTATGATCATGGCACTGCATTCCGGCCAGGGAAACAGAGTGAGATCCTGCCTAAATTTTTAAAAGTTTCTTTGATACTTTATGTTTTCTGATGCTGCAATAAACAAGCGTGAATCTAGATTTAGGGACCACTTTGTGCCTCATCTAGTCCTTTGATTTGTTCTCACCAGAGTTTCTTTATTAAGTGATTGCTGTGAGGTGTTCCTTTCCTCATTCGGGTGTTGCATGTAGGTAAATTTTTGGATCATTGTGTTTCACTTGTCAGATGAGCCTGTGACCGTTTGGAAGCTTTCCTCACTCACCTGGTTCGGCTTTCGAGGAGGGAGATCATAAGCTGCTGCTTCTCTCTCTCTCATCTCAGCCCACAAGTCCAGCCTTTAAACTCAGTTTTCAAAAGAGAGTCAAGTGGGGGCCCAGGCGAGGACATTCTGGAAGGAGGGTCTTCAGTGTGTAAGGACTAAGGCATGATCAGCAGGGCAGGTTGAAAATGGCTTAGAAAGGCTGGAGAGACCAGAGAGTCAAGCGGTGAGAATGGAAGAGCAGGTGGAGTGACGGCATGAAGAGGCCATGATGGGCTGTTCAGGGTCTAGGAGCCATGGAGGGGCTGTGACAGAACAGAGAGTTCTGTGTGTCCAAATGATGCTCTCTCTCCCCAGTCTATACAAGACACAGATACTATGGAGATCCAGGAGGCACAGAGATCAAAGGTAAGGAGAGATGAAGCTGAAGAGGTGGGCAGGGTCCAGGTGCTGAATGCACCTCTCAGGCCAAGGTCACTTTCTGGAAAGATGTGGACTGCTATTTGCAGGCAGGTGGCACAGACATATCATTCTTGGTCACCCCCCCCCCCCCCCCCGAGTCAGGGGACATTCTCAGCAGGGTCTTTTTGTCCAAACATGGGGATCCAACATGTGTTCAGCCTATATCCTGTGCCGGGAGCTCTTGTGGGATTTCACTCTTGTAATGCTCACCACAGCCTTGTAGGCAGGGCCTCTCATTCCTGTTTTATAGAGCAGGAAATTGAAGTACAGCAAGGTAGAAACCTGCCTGTCACTTGCTGAACAAAGGGGCAGAGTGTAGATTCAGATTTGAAGCACTGTGATTCCAAAGCCTGTATTCATTTCACTGCACTTAAGGCATATCCCTGAGAGGGCTGTTAATTCCACAGGAATCGGCCTCTGCCCGCTCCTCTGCCTGGAGGGGCGCTGACGCCTCCCCCAGGGATGAGGCTCCACAGCCTCTCACTTGTGGATTCCTGATCTCCGAGTACTCGCAGCTGGAGGCCTCCTGGACATGTGGGACCCCAGGCCTCATATTGAAGGTGAGGGATGCATACTGGACTTCTTGATCCTCCCCAGAGGAGGGGACGTCCTTGGCTGGAGGAAGCTGGTCTGGGGCGCTGTCGTCTGCCTGGGATTCAGTTGGGAAAACCTGAGTGGGGAGAGAGGGGGGAGGAGGGGAAGAGATCAGAGCAGAAAAACAGAGACAGGATAAGTCAGAGAGAGGCCGGGAAGGGTGCCCCTGAAGTCCTTCCTCCGTTCATCCCAAGTGCATTTTGTTGAAATCTCCTTCATTCTTGCTTGCCCTAAATATTTAATACTGGTCCAGTTGGAGATGCCTGAGCAGTGGCAGCTGGTGTGCTCGTCTCTCACGGGAGGGACTGAAACAGCGAGGGAGAATTGTTCACGGGTGGATAATGGGAAGCAGCTGAATTCACCAGAGAAGCCCCAGGAGCCTCGGAGCGTGGAGGGGAGCGAGGCCGGCAGCCCGCAGAGCCGGCTCCGGCTAGAGATGGAAGAGGATTCTAACTCGGGGAAGGGGCGAGTTGGGAGAGAAGCCCTGGGCTTCAGACCTCTGCCAGGTCTTTGCAGCCCGAGCCTGGGAAATCCCTCCCCACGCCCCGGTCTCCATCAGATGCAGGCGCTCCCTGGTGCCTGGACAGGGCACTGATCCGGCCACGTGGGACCCCGCGGGCTCTTGCTCTGAGCAGTCCAGCCCCGACTGCCGCCGTCCTGCGGGAAGCCAGGCTGGGCGGTTTCGTGCAGCCCCGGGACAGACACCTCACCCAGAGAAGACAAAACGAACAGACAACACGCCGGCCCCCTCCGCTTCCGCCGCATCCTGCCAAGTGGGGCTCACCTGCTCGGAGACAGGCCCCACCGCACCCGCCCCACCCCCGCCTGAACCCTGCAGCCGCGGCTTGACTTCCATAGGTTGCGTATAAAGCCTCCGCCCCTGCAGCCTCCGCCACCACTGCCTCCGCCCCCGCCACTGGCAGGCCAGGGAGGAAACCGGGAGGCAGGGCCCCACCATGGCTCCGTGCCAGGTGGGGCATTTCTACCTCCACATGGGCCTCCAGATGGCGCAGCTTCCCTACTCCTGCCAGAAAACTGTCACTCGGAATTCGCTGTCCGGCCCCTCCCAGATGCCATCGTCCCTGTCTCCGCCCCTGCTGCCCCTGTGACTGGGGGGGGGGGGGGGGGGGAGAGGCAAGAAACACCGATAACCATACACAACACACACCACAGTCATACCCACAAGAGAAAAAAAGAAAATCTCAAAAAGCCAGCCTGCAGACACAAGAAAAAGTGCTCAACCTCGCTAATCATCAGAGAAATGCAAATCAAAGCCACATTGAGATACCACCTAACCCCGGTAAGAATAGCCATCATTAATAAGACAAGCAAAGATACTGGCGAAGATGTGCTGAAAAAGGAACGCTTCTACACTGTTTATGGGAATGCAAACTAGGTCAACCTCTATGGAAAACAGTGTGGCAATTTCTGAAAGAACTAGAAATTGACTTTCCATATGACTCACCAATCCCCCTACTGGGAATATACCTGGAGGGACTCAAATCATTCTACAAAAAAGATACCTGCACACTCATGTTTATTGCAGTATTATTCACAACAGCAGAAATATGAAACCAACCCTGTTGCCCATCAAAAGTGGACGGGATAAAAAAATGTGATACATATACTCTATGGAATATTACACAGCCATAAAGAAGGATAACCATGAAGACTTTGCAGCAACTTGGATCTATCATGGAAACAAAAAGCTGAGTACCACATGTTCTCATTCATAAGCGGACCCTGAACATTTGCCATAATACTATAAGAAAGGGATTGGCAGTAGCGGGACACTGCTGGGGCTGGAGGGATGCCTAATATCAATAGGGAAACTGATCTCAAACCAGGCAGAGTGGGGACCAAAGGGAGGCCCAAACTTTACCTCTGCGATGACCACTTTGCATACCTCATCCCGAATTGTGCCCCATATCATTAAAATTTTAAAATACACTATAAAAAGCCTAATCTTAATGATAGCAAACTCAAAGAAGAGTAAACTCTCCCAGATGAGAGGGAATCAGTGTAAGAACTCCAGAAATACCAAAAGCCACAGTATTTCAACTCCTCCAAAGGATCATGCCAGCTCCCCAGCAATGGCTCCTAATCAGAATGAAATGTCCACAATGACAGATGCAGGATTCAGAATATAGATATAAATGAAACTTAGTGAGATCCAAGAGAAAGCAGAAATTCAAAACAACCAGCCAATAACATACATACACACACACACACACACACACACACACACACACACAAACAAACAAAATAGAAAGATCTCAAAGAAACAACCTAACATTGCATGGAAAGGGGCTAGAAAAGGAAGAACAAACTAAACTCAATGGTAGAAAAAAAGAAAATGAAACACACAACACATCAATAGTAGTATTGAAAATCAATAACCTAAATGCCTCCACTTAAGAGACATAGAGTGGAACATTGGCTAAAAATCCATACCCATCCATCCGCTTTCTTTGGAAGACCCATCTGACTTCTAACAATGCACACAGGCTCAAGGTAAAGGGGTAGAGAAAGATCTACCATGAAATAAAAACTGGGAAAGGAACAGGAGTCACCATTCTTATATCAGATGAAATCGATTTTAAACCAGCAAAATTAGTAAAGGACGAGGAGGAGGCATAACTTAATGACAAAGGGTTCAATTAACAAGACATCCTAACTACCTTAAATACATAGGCACCCAACATTGGAGCATCCAGATATATACAACAATTTCTACTACACATAAGAGAAGACTTAGCCACACAATAGTAGTGAGGACTTCAGTATCATACTAATAGATTTAGACAGACCAATGAGGAAGAAAACTAACAAAGTTCAGAACTTAAATTCAACACTTGATCAATTGAATGCAAAACACACTTTTAGAATACTTCAAGCAACAACCACAGAATAACCATTTTTCTATTCTGTACATGGAATATATTCTAAGATGGACCATAAACTCAAACATAAAGCAAGTCTTTTTTTTTTTTTTTGAGTCAGAGTCTCACTCTGTTACTCTGTTACTCAGGTTGCTCATGGACACTGCAGCCTCAACCTGCTGGGCTCAGATGATCCTTCCATGTCAGCCCTCCAAGTAGCTGGAGCTACAAGCATGCACCATCATGCCCAGCTAATTTTTCTTGATTTATTGCAGAGATGAGGTCTCACCAAGTTTCCCAGGATGGTCTCAAACCCGTGGGCTCAGGCAATCCTCTCACCTCAGCCTCCCAAAGTGCTGGGATTATAGGCAGGAGCCACTGCGCTCAGCCATAGCAAGTCTTAATAAATTCCAGAAAATCAAAATTATACCAAACATTTTCTCCAAGCACAGCAGAATAAACAGAAATCAGGACCAAAAGAAACTCTCAAAATCACACAAATACATAGAAACTAAACAACCAGTCTATGAATTACTTTTGGGTAAACACCTAAATCAAGGCAGAAATTTAAAACTGACTCTTTGAAATAAATGGAAATACGGGCAAAAATTACCAAATCATCTGGGATGCTGGAAAGGCAGAATTAAGAGGAAAGTTTAAAGTACTAAATGCCCACATCAAGAAAATAGAAAGATCTCAAAGAAATAACCTAACATTGCATGAAAAGGGGCTAGAAAAACAAGAACAAACTAAACTCAGAGGTAGCAGAAAAAAAGAAAATGAAATTAAAACTGAAAAAAAAATACAAAAATCAAGGAATGAAAAGTGGGTTCTTGGAAAGGATAAACAGTTTTGATACACTGCTGGTCAGATTAGGGGGGAGAGAGAGAGAATGAATTCATATATGTACATCGGAAATGAAGAAGGCAATATTACAACCAATCCCACAGAAATCCAAACGATTATCAGAGATGATTATCAGCATTTCTGTGCATGTAATCTAGAAAATCTAGAGGAAGCAAGTAAATTGCTAGAGATAGCCAACCTCCCAAGACTGAAACAGGAAGAAATTGAAATCCTGAACCATCTGATAATGAGTCACAAAATTGAATCGGTAAAATTAAAAAAAAAAAAATCTACCAACCAAATAAATCCCTGGACCAGATGGATTCACAGCTGGATTCTACCAGACAAACTAGGAAGAGCTGATACCAATCCAAATAAAACCATTCCAAAATAATTCAGCAGGAGGTGATCCTCCCTGATTCATTCTATGAAGATAATGCCAGCCTGATACCAAAATCTGGCAATGGCACTACAAGGAAATAAAACTACAGGCCTATGCCCCTGATGAACATAGATGCCAAAATCCTCAACAAAATGCTGGTAACATTCAACAGCACATCAAGAAGATTATTCACCATGATCACATGGGCTTTTTACCTAGAATGCATGATTGGCTCCATATATACAAACCAATAAACATGATCCATTCCACAAATAGAACCAAAAGTAAATGCCATATCATTGTCTCTACAGAGAAAAATCATGTGATAAAATCCGACGTTCCTTCATGATACAAATCCTCAGCCATCTGTGTTACAAAGGAACATGGCTCGGAATATTAAGAGTCACCTATGACAAAGAGACAGCCAACATCATACTGGATGGGCAAAAGCTGAAAGCATTTCCTCGAAGAACTTAAACAAGTAAAAGATGCCCATTCTCACAACTCCTATTTGACATAGCATTGGAAACTAGTCAGAGCAGTCAGGCAAGAGAAATAAATAACTTAATGATATGCACATTAGAAATAGAAAAGTGGCCGGGCTCGGTGGCTCAGCCTGTAATCCCAGCGCTTTGGGAGGCTGAGGTGAATGGATTGCCTGAGCCTGCAGGTTCGAGCCCTGCCCGGGCAAATTGGCAAGAACTCATCTCTACAATAAATCAAAAATTAGCCAGGCATGGTAGCGTGAACCTGTACTTCCAGCTACTTGGAAGGCTGAGGTAGAAGGATCGCCGGACCCCAACAGGTCGAGGCTGCGGTGGCCAGGAGCGTGCCACTGCACTCCAGTCTGGGCAACGGAGTGAGTCTCCAACTCAAAAAAAAAAGAAATAGAAAAGTAAGAACAAACCAAACCCAAAATTAGGAGAAGGGGAAAATAATGCAAATCAGAGGAAACTGAAATGAAATGAAGACTAAAAAAATACAAAGGATCAATAAAACAAAACGTTGGCTTTTGTAAAAAAATAAAAATAAACAAAATTGAGAATCGCTAACAAGACTAAGCAAGAAAATCTGTTGAATGGGAGAAAATATTTTCAAACTATTTATCCAAGGAGGGACCAATAACCAGAATATACAAGAAATTCAAGCAACTCAACAACAGACACAAATAATCTTATTTAAAAGTGTGCAAAGAATGGGAATAGATATATCTCAAAAGAAGACATACAAATGGCCAACAGATATGAAAAAATACTCCATATCACTAATCAAATCAAATGCAAATCAAAACCACCATGAAGTATCATCTTATTCCAATTAGAATGAATATTATCAAAAAGACCAAAAAAAAAAAAACTGCTGGTGAAGATGCTAAGAAAAGGGAATACTTACACATTTCCATTAGGAACATACATTAGTACAGCTTTAATGGAAAACATTATGGGTATTTCTCAAAAACCTAAAATTAGAATTATCATATGATCCAGTAGTCCCACCAATGGGTATGAACCCAAAGCAAAGGAAGAGATTATATTGAGGGGATACCTACACCCCATGTTCATTGTAACACTATTTACAATAGGAAAGATATGTGGTCAACCTAAATTTCTATCAACAGATAATGAATTAAAAATGTGGTGTATATACACAAAGGAACACTATTCAGCCATAATAAAGAATGAAATTCTGTCATTTGCAGCAACATGGATGGAACCAGAGGTCATTATGTTAAGGGAAAAGTCCAATATCACAGGTTGCCACTCATATGTGGGAGCTACAGAGTTGATCTCAGGAAGGTAGAAGTAGAATGACAGTTACCAGAGATTGGAAAGGTTCTGGGGAGGGAGGAAAAAGGAGGGGTGGTGAGATGAAGAGAGTCTGGTTAATGGGTACAAACATACAGTTAGCTAGAAGGAATAGTTCTAATGTTGGATAGAAGAGGAGGGTGATTTTGCTTAACAACAATGTATCAAATATTTCAAAATAGCTAGAAGAGACATCTTGAATTGTTCTCAACACATAGAAATGATACATGCTCAAAGTTAGAGATAGCCTTAAAATCCTGACATGGTTACACATTCAACACATATAACAAAATATCACATGTACCCTTAACATGAACAAACAATATTTATCCATTTAAAAGTAAAAATAGGCCAGGCATGATGGCTCATGCCTATAATCTCAGCACTTTGGGAGGCCGAGGTGTGAGGATTGCCCGAGTCCACGGGTTTGAGATCAGCCTGGGAAACTTGGCGAGACCTCATCTCTACAATAAATCAAGAAGAATTAGCCAGGCGGGATAGCACATGCCTGTATTTCTCAGCCTTGGAAGGCTGAGGTGGAGATCACCTGAGCCCAGCAGTTCAAGGCTGCGGTAGCTGTGAGCGTGCCACTGCACTCCAGCCTGAGCAACAGAGTGAAACTCCAACTCAAAAAAAAAGTTAAAAAAGAGTCAATACATGAGCTAGCAATTCAACCTATGGGTATATATACAAGAAAATTGAAAACAGGAACAGGAAAAGATGATTTGCATACCCATGTACACTGCAGCATTACTCATAATAACCAAAATGTGGAAACAACTCAAATGTCCACCAATGGCTATGTGGATAGGGAAAATGCAGTGCAAATACACACTATGGGAGTCATTCACTCTTAAAATGAAGGAAAACCTGTCACACGTGACAACATGGGTGAACCTTAAGGACATACGTTAAGTGACAAAAGGGAATCACAACATGACAGACACTGTGTGATTCCACTTCTGTGAGGTATCTAGAATCATCAAATTCATAAAAACACAAGGTAGAATGGTGATTGCCAGGGACTAGGGGGACAGAAGAGGAAATGAGGAGGTGTTCAATGGGCACAATCTTGCAAGATAAGAAAGTTCTGGAATGTGTTGCACAATGTACACTTAACAATGGTTGAGATGGTCAATTTATGTTACATGTTTTTTCTTAACATGATGGATGGATAGATGGATGGGTGGATGGATAGATGACAGATACATAGATACATAGATGATAGATTAGATAGATAGATAGATAGATAGATAGATAGATAGATAGATAGATAGATAGATAAGAAAAATAAACTCACAGCCTACCCCTCAGCACTTCCTATTTTCTGAACTCTGCATTTTCCCCAAAGTATCTGTCTGTGGTTTACACTGTATTCATTTATTTGTTATTTGAGTGGTTAGTGGGTCCATTAGTTTGGACATCTCCCTCAGTCAAGAACAAAATTTCAAGGATCCATAGATTTTTAATGTTTTCCATAGGTGGGCCCCTGGCACCTACAGTGCTCGTCTTTTGGGAGATGATCATACCTTTCCTGAAAGAATTAACCAATGAAAGGACAGATGTTTACTAAGCTGCTTAAAACATTCCACAGATTTCCAGGCATACCCTGAATACAGACAGCAAATGATGAGTGTGATGTTTACACTGGAGCATGAAACATAAACAAGAATGAAGAAGCAGAAGCGGGGAAGGAAGAGCATTTGAGGAGGGAGGAATAGCCCATGCAGGGACCAAGAGGTACAAACAACCTCATTCTGGTTGTGACAATGGAGAGTTCAGCATGGACCGGGCACAGATCGGAGGCAGGAAGCAGCAGGAGGCAGGGCTGGGACTGGGTGAGGAATGTGAGGACTTTGCCCAGAGCACAAAATTATTGGAGTGCCGAAAATCTCAGTTGGAAGGAATAATGTGTTTATGAAGTATCTTAAAAATCAAAATTAATACAAAAAATTCAGAGACCCAGAGAACAAAAAAAAATTTAAACCCAGATTAGTGAGAATGTTCTGCTGAGCCAATTGCAACCAAAGGCAAACAACAACAACAAAAAAAACCTCTATTTATATGTTTTATGTATATTTAGTGATCGGTTTTTCCCAGAACATTACTATAATTGAAATACTATTGATGAATTGAAAAGCACTATTCACAATAGCAAAAACATGGAACCAACCATGCTGCCCATCGAAAGGACACTGGATTTAAAAAATTGTGGTACATATACATGATAGAATATTACACAGACACAAAGAAGGACAAAATTATGAACACTGCAGCAACTTAGATGAATTTAGAGACTGTAATACTCAGTGATCTATCACAGAAACAAAAAACTGAGCACCATATGTTCTCACTCATAAGGGGACCCTGAACAATTATCATAATATAATAGGAAAGGAACTGGCAGTAGTGGGAAACCACTGGGGGTGGGGCACACTCCATCAATAAGGGTACCTGATCTCAAACCAGGTGAATGGGGACCAAAGTGATGCCCAAAGTTTACCTGTACAATAACCATTTGTATACCTAACCCTGAATTGTACCCCACACCTTAAAAATATAAAAAAAAATTTAAAGTGGTATGTGTTACAACACTTCAAGTTTACAAATTTTTACCCAAAGCAAAGTTATTAACATGTGTTTTCCTGGTTCTACTGCAAGCAAAGCAGAGATCATGTCTTCAAAAGGTCTTTTTTTTTTTACTTCTTTCATTTTCAACTGAGAATACTGTCTTGCTTAACAATTTCTCTTGCTAAGTGACGATCTTAAATAATTCCTAACTTTAGATTACTGATACTGTGATGATTTAAAATTTTGATATTTTGCACATCAACTTTTTCATAAATTGTAATTATTAAAGATATTGTGCTTTAAAATATTGTCTCAGTTACTGAGAGTTTTGACACCCCCCCATATTTTGCACCTGAGGTAAAAGCCTCACTTATCTTACCCTGACTCCCACCCCACTGGAGAGGTAGGTGCTTAAGACACCAGAACGTGCAGGGATTTTCACTCTAGGTCAGGGGTTATCAAGCTACAGCCCTTGGGTCAAATCCCGCCCACTGCCCGATCTTGTGAATAAAGTTTTATTGGAACACAGCCCAATGCCTCATTTCCACAGAGTCCAGGGCTCCCTTCCTGCTACAACAGCAGAGCAAGTAACCACAACAGAGACTGCATAACCCAGAAAGTCGACGCTCTGGCTTTACAGAAAAGAGTTACCAGCCTCTGACCTGGACAGTGTGGGGTGGGGAACAACCATCCAGATGCAGAGGAACTAGACAGTGATCTCTTCTGAAAGGTCCCTCCAGGTGGGGAAGGGGAGGTGAGAGGCAGAGAGGTAAGGAGTGAAAGGGGGGAGATCCCAAGGCTTCAGCAGCAAAAGAGGTCAGGATGGAAGGGGGAGTGATGCTGTGGTTCTTAAGGGAGAAACAGGCAAGACTTGGTGAACTTGGACTATAGATAAGAAAGGGAGGAGAGAGAGGAGGTGACGCCTCCACTGTGCCCAGCATGGGGTGGGTGTTGTCCTGCTGTCAGCAAGATGGGGACTCCTGCAGAGAAGGCAGCTTGAGGGGAGGAGAAGGAGAGACACTTTGGCCATGCCCAGCTGAGCAATCAGGAGGCCATCGTGTGGAGGAGTCCAGGCTGGAGGCTGGATGTGGAGACGCCCACGTCACTCACCTGAGAGCCGGAACCCCTGACAGTGACAGCGTCATCCATGCCCACATCCCCCTCGCCCGCTGCTGGCCTTGCCGACTTCCTCCTGCGGGACCTCACTCTGCGTGAGAGACCAGAGAGCCTTTCAGTCTGGCCAGATCAGGGTACAATGGGCAGACCGGTGCCCCCACCTGTGTTTCCTATTAAGGGGTTAGAAGATGACCAAGGTGGGAGAGAGGTGGTCCCATCTGGAGACCCCAGGGCTGAGAACACAGGCCCTCTCAGGACTTGGGACCTGAGGTTCACCCAGACATGGGCCCCACAACGAGGGGTGCTCGGACCTTCTCACGATTCCTGTGACCTTCTTCCTGCCCTCACCTCCAGCTCTGGCCCCAAGGACTCTGCTCCTGGCCCGCCCTCCCCTGGGACCCTCCTCCTTCCCAAGGTCCTTGCTCACACGATGAAGATGGCACAGAAGGACAGGAAGACCAGGGCAGTGGTTCCAGCTCCTGCGAGCGCCCCCAGCATCACTCCTGACACAGGCGACGCTCCCCCTGTGGGCAGACGGGAGCTGTTGGGGGGACTCACCCCTCAGAACTGGTCTCTTCTCCTCCCGCTCCCTGAGAGGCCCTGGACCTCTGTTCCCCTCTTCCTTCCCAGACACAGAGAACAGGGTGGGAGGGAGGAGGGGATGGGGTGAGGCCAATGAAGCATGAGAGCTGGGGGCTCCTGTCTTCACTTGCAGTTTTGATATTGTGTTCACTGTGAGGTAACTTTGCAATTTCACTTTTTAAAAGATCATTGAATCACAACATTATTCCACTCCCTTGCTGAGTTGTTTTATATTAAGCTTTTAAAATATGGTGCCCAGGCCAGGTGCAGTGGCTCAGCCTGTAATCCCAGCACTTTGGGAGGCCGAGGCGAGTGGATTGCCTGAGGCTGAGGGTTCGAGACCAGCCTGGGCAACTTGGCAAGACCTCGTCTCTACAATAAATCAAAAATTAGCTAGGCGTGGTAGCATTGCCTGAAGTTCTGACTACTTAGAGGTCTGAGACAGAAGGATCACCCAGCAGGTTGATGCTGGGGTGGCAGTGAGCGTGCCACTGCACTCCAGCCTGGGTGACAGAGTGAGACTCCATCTCCAAAAAAAAAAAAAAAAAAATGGTGCCCAGGCAGGGCGCAGTGGCTCAAGTCTGTAATCCCAGCACTTTGGGAGGCTGAAGCAAGAGGATTGCCTGAGTCCAGGGGTTCCAGACCAGCCTGGGCAACATGGTGAGACCTCGTCTCTACAATAAATCAAAAAATTAGCCAGGCATGGTAGCTCACGACTGGAGTTCCAGCTACTTGGAAGGTTGAGCCGGAAGGATCGCCTGAGCCCAGCAGGTCAAGGCTGCGGTGGCCATGAGCATACCACTGCACTCCAGCCCTGGCAACAGAGTGAGACTCTGACTCAAAAAAATTTTTTTAATAAAATAAAATGTGGTACCCAAGGAGAGAGCCACACATGTCTCATCATTGTCCCTAAACTAAAAAGCAGGAGCTTTATCTCCCTAACACACCTGTCCATGCCCCAGCCCCTTCCCTTCAAGACCCCTCTCGTCCCCTCACCCAGCCCACAACGCTTGTCCAGCGGGAAGAGGACAGAGACACTCTGGATCCAGGGAAAGTCCAGGCCTCACAGCAGAACACAGACCAGACCTGAGCTCCCCACTGAAGCCCAGGGACTGCTGGGTGGATGGTGAAGGGTGGAGGTGTGGTCTCCCCACAGCCCCTCCCCTGACACTGTGCACTCACTCTGCAGGGAGAGGCTCAGGGAGACCTGCTGAGAGCCCAGAGGGTTCTGAGCTCGGCAGGTGAATTCTCCTTCATCCCCAGGGTGCATTCGGGGCAGCTCCAGCAACCCAGGGTTCGAGGGCTCTGAGGGACTCAGGGCCAGGCTTCCCCGGGTCCAGCTCAGCCTGGCAGGGGGGTTGCTGTCGACAGCACAGACCAGGCGCAGAGACTGGCCCTCCAGGACTAAGGGAGATGATCCATTCCCCAGGGCTGTGGCTGCTGTTGAGAAAGAGACAGAGGGTCAGAGAGACAGAGAGATCTGAAAAAAAAGAGGAAGGACAGAAAAAGAGACTGGTGAGGAAAACTGACACAAAGACAGAAACTGAAATGCTGGAAACACACACTGTCACCTCTCACTGCTGGGAACATCAACCTGTGCACGCTTCAGAAGAAAAATTTGGCCACATCACTCAAAATTAGAAGGAACATATGACACAGCTCTTTTTTGCTTTTAGGAAAGAATCCCACTGACATAGACATTCCATGTGAAAGGAGATATGAGATAATTCATTACAGTGTTTCTTTCTGTGGTGGGATAAAATTAGTGCCATAATGTACCATTAGAAGATGCCACAAAATCAGAGTCCATCTGTGAAGTTCTCAAGGAGGGTGAGGACGGTTCATCTTATGATGTCAGACAACCTCTGAGACCTCAGGTGACCACACCAAGACTCAGAGTATCCTGGATGGACATGGGTCACTTCTGCAGGGAGACAGACTCTGCCATGCATCTTAAATTTCTGCCCATGTGACTCTATCACCTGTCTAGAAGGACCTGGGTCAGAACTGTTGGGGGAGATGGAAAGTGGAGGCAGGAGGCGTGTTCAGGAGACTGATGATGAGGCCCTGAAGGCTGGTCCTGCTGTGTGAATGTCACCCTGTCCTTGCTGTGGGCTGAAGGGGGCGTGTGTGGAGGAGTCTGAGGGGAGTGAGGGGTGGGTCGGCAGATGCTCAGCGGACCATGGGGCTGAGGGTGGGGAGAGGTCCTAGGTTCACCCACAAGGGGGTCTCTGGTGACCAGGTAAGTCCAGGATGAGGAGAAGCCTTGCCTTGAGCTGAAGACCTGTGCCCCCACCCAGGGAGGGTGTCCATCCTACCTGTGTCATTTCCTTGGAAGACAGTCACGGTCAAGTTCTGAGGAGCATCTGGACAGAAAGATATCACTGTGGGAGTGGTGGACACTGACCCTCTCTCCCGGGAGCTGCATAGATGGGTAAGGTGGAGCCAGCATCCTCCTGACCCCCCACTCTTACCTTGGACTCTGGGATCCAGCATCCCATGTCCAGCTCTGACCCCCAGCCCCCTGCCCTCAGGGACTCCCCCATCAGGGACCCAGGCATCCTGGCTCAGCTCTCACAGGACACGTTGAGATGGATGGTCCTTGTCGTAGTTACATTGGCCCCAGGCAAGGTCACCTGACAGGTGAGGCTGGTGCCGTGGTCCTGTGGCTGTGGGATGAGGGTAAGCACCAAGGAAGCAGAGCTGGTGGGGTCCAGAGAGGACACGGAGGCCCCCATCCAGGAGATCATGGGGGGTTTCCCCTGATCACAGGTCCAGGGCACAGAGCAAGTCAGGTTCCCAGGGCGGCCAGACTCCAGGGTCCCCGGGATGATGTCGGGAGTCAGGGCTGGTGAGGAGAGGGGGAGACACACAGGATCAGGAGGGAGGTTCTGAGGTGGGCCCTGGTGAAACTCACACTCTAGTCCAGGTCCTCCCCTGAGCTAGGCCCACTTCGCCCCAACTCCCTCCCAGCAAAGGGGTCTCATCCTTCCCCTGTGGATCCCGGCCCTTACCTGGCACATGCAGAGAGAGCTGGTTAACCTTGTAATCCATATTTGGCCTGTAGTTCCATTTTACCATTCCTCTCTCCAACCGAAAGAAATATATCCCCTGGTCCATCATCCTGACATCTCTAATGCTCAGAGAGCAGTTGTTGTACTGTGGGTCCCCAAGGAGGTGGAATCGACCCTGGGTCTCCTCCTGCACTTTTTGAGCTGGGTTGTTTGTGGTCACTGGAGCATCCCTGTCTGTATCAGCCCCTCCCCGGAACCAGTAGCCATAAACTGGGTCAGAGTCAGTCCAGTCGCCCTGGGGGTAGGTGAAAGAGCAGGGCACAGAGACACACAGGCCCTCCTGCACCATCACTGACTTCACTTTCAACTTGTAACCATCTCCAAATGGTCTCTGTCCCTGCCCCTGCACTCCCTCCATCCCCCAGAGCAGAGGCAGCAGCAGCAGCAGCATGTCTGGGGCGGGAGGTGCCAGGGCCACCAGGCAAAGCCTCATCCTCAGGGTTCTTCTTTCAGGAACTAAGAGCTCAAGACTCATGGGAGGCCCCACAGGAAGCTGGGGGTGAGGCCAGGACAGTGACTTCCTCAGAGGAGGAACTTCACACCCAGGTGCTGTCAGGCCGGGTCAGCCCTCGGAGACCAACCATCCCCCACCCCACCCCCACTCCTGGAGACCCAGAGTGGGTGAGAGACTCACTCAAATTCACACCCCATCTTCTGCCTCCCTGTGGACATCTTCCTCTGGGATGACATTTTCTGCAAGATGAAAATAGGTCGCATCTAGCCAGACCCCTGAGGCTCCCCTGAGACCCTCAGTGTTTGTGGAGGTCAGGCCTGCTGAAAGTGGGAGCCAGGAGAGTTGGGGCCCCAGGTGGGGTGACAGGCAGCCTCTCCTCCCTGGCCTCAGCATCCATGAGGTGGGCATCCCTTCTCTGTATGATGAGGTCAGCCACCGGACCTAGACACTGTCCCCAAGGAATCACCATCCAGTGGGGAGACAAGTCTTCTGACATCTGAGCTCCCATGACAGGAGCTTCAGTGGGGGACACACAGGCAGGGTGGTGGGCTCTCCCCTAGGTTGGAGGCTGCATCTCCGGAGGACTGAGCAGGGGACACGGAGCTGTGGAGCTGAGGGCTGCCAGTGTCAACACACGCCAAGGACGCCAGGAGAGCCCAGCTTGCAGGAGGTCTGGGATTCGGAGGCTGTGACTGTTCTGCAGTGGGACTCGAAGAAAGTCGGGGAGAAGGGGTGGGTTTTGAAAGGAGTGAACATTTCTTTCTCCTCACAGCACTGGGTACCAGGTGGGATTTCCTTCCCGCTGTCAGGTCACTAAGTCACATGTCCCCTGGTCACTCCAGAGCTTCATGGGTCAGGAGACCTCCCCTTTGCCAGTCGCACATTTGCAAAAGGAGGGACTTCCTGAAAAGGAGAGAACAGGAGGAGGTTCTGTCCCTAGGACTCAGCTTCTCCCACACCCAACACCCAGCCAGGCCCCCTCCCCAACCCCTCTCCTGTGACTCACTCTGCACAGAGAGGCTCAAGGAAACGTGTTGGGAGCCAGGGTCCAGGCAGAGGGTTGCTGTCAGCCACACAGACCAGGCTCAGGGACTGGTCCTCTGGGATGGGTGGTGATGGCCATTGCTCAGGGTATTCAGGACTGTGTGAGACACAGAGAGAGCAGGGAGAGTGGAGATGAGAGGCCTGTCTCTCCCTGACCTCCCACTCAGACAGAAAGAAGGAATGCATGACTGTTTGACCCATGCTTATGTGTAAACAAATCCAGGGGTCCAAAAGCTGAAAGACCCTGAAGGGAAATAGGCTGAACTGAGCCTGAGAGGGGAAGCTTATCATGTTAATACTTGACAGGAGGCATCCCAGGTGGGGAAAAGCAAAGGCCTGGAGACAGCCTGGCAGATGAAGGGATGTGCGCGTCCATCTGGGTCTCTGGGGGAACATGTAGGGACAGGGTGTGCTGAGAAGCCTAAGCTGAGGGTGCCAGGGAACCATGGGGGGCCCTGAGCAGGGAAGGGGCAGGATTGGCTCTGGGTGCAGGAATCTTTCTGGGCATGTGCTATGTGGGGAGGCTGGGGAGGAGGATGGAGCAATGTTCAACACAGAAAAGGGCCTGGCCACATGGATGCAGGAAGGGGAGTCGGGGCAGGGAGGGGATGAGGAGGGGAATGATGGGAGACATTTGTGGGAAATGATGTTTGCAGGACCCACTGGCATCCTGTGGGCTCTCCCCTAGGTTGGAGGCTGCATCTCAGGAGGACTGAGCAGGGGACACGGAGCTGTGGAGCTGAGGGCTGCCAGTGTCAACACACGCCAAGGACGCCAGGAGAGCCCAGCTTGCAGGAGGTCTGGGATTCGGAGGCTGTGACTGTTCTGCAGTGGGACTCGAAGAAAGTCGGGGGGAAGGGGCGGGTTTTGAAAAGAGTGAACATTTCTTTCTCCTCACAGCACTGGGTACCAGGTGGGATTTCCTTCCCGCTGTCAGGTCACTAAGTCACATGTCCCCTGGTCACTCCAGAGCTTCATGGGTCAGGAGACCTCCCCTTTGCCAGTCGCCAGGAGTGGTGGCGGGGTGAAGGAGGGGGGCGTCTGGAGTGAGTCTTGGGTCCTGACTGGGGTAACTAGGGGACAGGGACACTGTGTCCAAGAGGAGGATCGAGGGGCAGAAAGTGGGGGAGGGCTCAGGGCAGGGTTCAAAGCTGAGGCAGAGGAAGGGTGGGCTCCCCGGGAGCACATAGAGGAGAAGGGACAGACCAGGGTCAAGTTGGGGAACATCCCACCAGGACTAATGGGGAAGATTAACAAAGCTTGGCCAAGGGAATAGGGAACAGGATAGATGATCAAGAGTGGTGGGGGCAGATTTGGCAACAAGGAGTTAACAGGGTGACCTGGTAGGAGCTGGGGGAAAGCACAAAAGGGGAGCAGAATTCAGGCAGAGGGACTAAGAACTGCAGGGGCTCCTTCTGTCAGATTTACACATCACCTGATTTCAGCTCCACTTTCAGTCTCCCTCCCTGAGTTAGGAGAAGCCCGACCCTTGCCACGGCCTCAGAAGGCAGTGCTCTGCTAACTGGGCACCTCCGCCGAAAATACTGTTGGCCATCAACTGTGGCACATCTGGGACAGAAAGATGAACAGGTTTCTACTTGTCACTAGGCACGGTGTGGACACTGGCGATATCCCCCAGGAGAACGGAACCTGGGAAGAAGGGGTGGTGACCTGCCTCAGACCTACCCAGCCTGGTCTCTAGGTCCTCAGTATTGAGAATCCCAGACTCCGACCTCCCCCTATCTTGACACCGTTTGTCCTCAAGGACCCGGGCATCCTGGCCCAGCACTTACAGGAGACATTGAGCTGGATGGTTCTCTCCAGGTCACACCAGCTCTAGGGGACGTCACCTGACAGATGCCATGGTCCTGGGGCCATGGGATAAGGGTGAGTACTGAGGACTGGATGGTCTCAGGGACTGTCAAACTGACGGCACCTCTTGCCCAAAAGAATTGTGGTGGGATCCCCTCTCACAGACCCAGGTTGTGGGGTAAGTCCGATGTCCAGACTAACTGGATTTCAGCATCTCTGGACATAAACCTCAGGTGTTTGGGTCAGGGCTAGGGACAAGAAGGCTATCCTCAGTTTCTGAAGGGGCACTCCTGTTCTGGAATCCCTCAGGGACCTTGAACACCTTCCAGGACCCTTGAATGATGAGGAAAGGGTCCTTTTCTTGGGATTCACTCTACCTGTCATACAGAAAAACAGTTTATTTTTGTATCCGTATTTCAGGTAATAACCTCTCTCCCCCTAGAAGTTCATTCCTGTATCCTTCTTGTGTGCAACTCTGGTGCTCAGAGAGCAGTTGTAGGTCTAGGGATCACTGATGAGGTGGGATCAGTGCCGGGTCTTCTCCTGCACGTCTTGAATGAGTTGTTTGTAGCCACTGGAACGTCCCATCATTCTGGTACCAGTAGCCGTGAGTCGGGTCAGATTCTGTCCAGTTACTTGGGGTTCAAAACAGCGCAGGGCGCATGGATGCACATCCCCCCCTGCACTGTAACCAACTCTGGCACTTCAAGGTCATGTCCTGGATGCTGAGCCAAAGCCCCTGGGGAGAGAGGAAGACGCTCAGACTCCAGCCCCGCCCCCCTCTCTGGACCCCTCTGGCTCCTACCTTCCCACAGCCTGGGCAAAAGCACCAGCAGCAGCAGAAACATCTCTCGAGCCTAAAGCACCAGGTACTGTCATGGGACCATCTGGTCACAGGGTCCCTCAGTATGGGAAGAACAGGCTGATAAAAACAAGGGTAACCCCCAACCACAAGCCGGTGGGCGAAGACAAAATGGTAATTGTGCACATTAAGCGCAACTTCAAACCCACTGCAGCGAGAGATGGGAGGTAATTTGAGATAAGCCTTTCCTACTTCCTTCCTCTGCAGACCTCAGTGAGGTCCAGAGAAAGAAAACACTCCCCAAAGCCATTCTGGCAGGTGTGTCTTTCAGAGTTGGAAGTGTTTATGAAAAACTGGAAATATTTGGAAGAATTTGCCAGGAATTTTTTCCTTGGAAATTAATGTTTGCTACTGAATCATTTCCTTTATGAATATAGGTGCTATAGTTTGGGTGTCTTTCCCCCCAAGCCTCATGCTGAAATTTGATCCCAGTGTTGGAGGTGGACCTGATTAGAGGTGTTGGGATCATGGGGGCAGATCCTGCATGAATAACTTAACAACCCCCTCAGGAGTGAGTGAGTGCACATTCTCTCAGAAATCACAAGAGAGGATCATCATAAAAAGCCTGACACCTCTATCTCTTGCTTCCTCTTTTGCCGTGTGATCTCTGCACAGGCCACCTCCCCCTCACTTTCCATCACGAGTGGAAGCAGCCTGAGGCCCTCGCCAGGTGCCCAATTATGAACCTTTCCAGACAAATACACCTTTTTGCTTTGTAAATTTCCTAGCCTCCGGTATTCCTTGACAATAATACAACAATGGACTAAGACTATAGGGTTATGTAGGTTTTCTGTTTCTTCTTGGGACAGTCCCAGTCAATTATATTTTTCCAATAATTTTATATACCATCTGGATTTTAAGATTAATAAGTGTATGTTTGGGTAAATTATCCTCTTATAGTGTTGTTGTTGTTGATGTTGTTGTTGTTGTTTTGAGTTGGGGTCTCACTCTGTTTCAGTGGCACAATCATGGCTCACCACAGCCTCGAACCCCTGAGTCCCCCCTCCTCAGCCTCTTAAGTAGCTGGGACTACAGGTGCTTGCCACCACACATGTGTGTGTAAGAGAGAGAGAGAGAGAGTCTCGCTATGTTGCCAAAGCTGGTCTCAAACTCCTGGGCCCAAGCAATCCTCCTACCTTAACCTCCCAAAGTGCTGGGATTACAGGTTGAGCCACATGCCCAGCATTCTTATAGTGTTTTAAGCAAAAAAGATATTGAA